CAGTGGACAATATTTCTTGACGAGTGATTCAAGGGTTGTGAGCCGCTGAAGAATCGTTTCCTAAAACCTTATTTCCAATCTCGTTGAGGGATGTATTTTCCTGAGGTTTGATTGGTACTACCAATTCTTCTGTTTGCGACTTAAAAATAATTTCTTTCCAGCTGGTATTACTAGAGAATTCAATGTTCCTAATTCTGCAAAATTGTGTTTCGCGTTTTCTCTTTGGCAATAAATAATCGCCTTAATTCGTCAGGTATGTTTTCTGAGCTTGTTGATCAGATTCGGGACTTTTTCTACTTTCTGATCGTTCACTCTAATGTTGTTAATTTTGTTGTTTAACACGTCGTGCCAAAGGATGATGTCTCTTGCTTTACGTAGTTTTCTCATTTCCATGAGAAATTCAAGGTTCAAAACTTTGTGGATAGAGTTGGGGTTGAGACTCAATCCTTTCGCTGCAAAGCTGATGCGGGATAACACTCTCTTCAAATCTTTTGAGGCTACTTCGGTTGCGGCTTTCGGGGAGCTGGCTCCAATTATAAACACCATTAACAATCAACACTCTTCACCCACGAAGCTAGAGGCGTGGAACTTGTTAATGATGTTTTTCGATTGATTTCGGTCCTCTGGCTCAATTTATCTGAAATTACGCGGTATGTGAAATTGAAATGGACAAATCTATTTAATACGTTTATCACAACAATTAGGTATCATAGTAACGGAGGTTACAGTCAAGAGTCCCTTCATACAGTCAAGAGATAAGAAAATGATAATATAAAGGAGATGATTAGTGTTGATTTGTTTAAAATTAAACTCGATACGGGTTACTATAGTCGATTAAAATTGTCTTGCAGGACATGGCAAATGCATTTTACTGGGATGACATTTAGATATTTTTTTGGGGAAGTTCACTACCTTTACCTCACAGCAAAAACCACGCATCAAAGACTTTAAGATAGTGGTGGTTTAGGACAAGTGAAGAATCGGGTTTCCGTTCTCACTGCTCTATCGGAAATGAGAAGTTTTTTTTTATTTAGGAGAAGAATTAAGAAGAATTATGAGATGAATTATTTATTTAGGATACATATCTTAAATATAACTAATAAGGCCAAAAGTATGATAGTAAGCGAGGTTACAGTCCGGAGTCCCACATCACATTTTCTAGACAAAAATCTCGGAATTTTCTAGATATGGAAGTCATAATGTTGAAAAAGAGATGATGAGAGTTGATGTGGTTAAAACTAAACTCGATACGAGGTAACGTTACTGAGATAAGAACAGGTAACTCAACACGAGAAAAAAAACAGTAAATTATGTATTATAAATAACATTCCACGAAACATGTTTTGTCATTTGTTGTTCCGAGTAATACGCACACAGAGTTCACGATCCCTATTGCCAGGGACTCTGTTTTAAACAGCTGCCTGCCCTGAGTTCTTCCGTGCCTATGCTTAGATTCTTACAAAGCTTGCTCAACAAAAAATTCCGCGCAGGGGCCAACCGCTCCCTGAATCTCAAAATCTAATGGTTGAAAAAGATATCTATCACAATATTTAGGCTTCGTACTTAGCGGCAGCCGTACCAGGGTTTAAAACCACCCCCTCACTAATACTACTGAGGGTTAGGGAGTCTACTATCATTACCTACCGCAACATCTGCTCAACAACAGCCCATGAAACGAGCATCAGACCGTCTGGTCGGTTCTAATGGGTCCTGTAGAGTTGTCGCTGCTCAATAAAGAATGAATATGAGTAGAAGACCTGTGCCATTCCACCAGAATTCCGCCAGAAAAAGGTTCGTCGAAACAAATTTTCACTAAAAGTAGTTCAACTGTACGAAAGAGAAGTTTCGATGATTAACGGTCTAATTTGACGAAATGAGCGGATTGGGAAGGATCATTCTGTGTTAACATGCTCATTTCTCAAAGATTCGCTCGAAAGGAAAACACGTAGCTTTTTATATTTTCGCAAAACTGAAAAATAACGAAAATCAGAACCGTCATTGTCGCTGGCAAGAACATGAACCACGACGAGCGAGACAAAAAACTACGTTAGTGGAGACAGTTACAATTTGAAAGCTATCGACCGAAACGCGCAAATTAACTTAGTTATATGCAAGATAGTGGGCTCATGGCTGGGTCTCAATATCCCCAGACCACGAGGTCAATCCTAAAAACAGGGCTACTTTTCTATCATAAAAGCATTGTTTTTTTTCAGCTGAAGAAATCATCATATCTATCAGAGATAGATCAACCCTTTCCGTCGAATGATAGTTTCTCTTACTCTGAAAATGAATTTAATGTTAGTTTACTTCAATTCGAGAAATTCCGAAAAATTTAAAATTGAAAAAATTGTGACATTCGATCCGAGTGAGCAAAAGTGTAAAGCAGCAAACGAAGTTTACTCGAGCAGTTCGACGAGAAAATTAACGGTTTAGTGGGACTACTGTTTTTAATCGTCTAATTGGATGAATCCGGAAGCATTATTTTGAATCGAAGTAATTACTTTCAAAATTTTGGTAAGGGCGTGCATGAAACGTGACTATTTTTTCGCAAAACTGAAAAAGAGAGCGAAAATCAGAACCGTCATTTTAGATAAAAGAAACAAGACCACGACGAGCGAGATAAAAACAACGTTAGCAGAGACAGTTATCGAGAAAACGAGAAAACGCTTTCCGAGTTTTAACAATTGTGCTGCTACAATCATTACCGGAAGAATCGAACGAATCGGGAAGGCTGAATATGAAGACAGCAACCCCTCCTGGTCGTGAAGAAGGCGTCTCTTAGAGGATATCGAAGAAACCGGAAGGCTCTGAGTCACACTCCTGAACTGTCGTTTTAACAAATTTTAGTTTCCGGAGATGTCCTGAATGCAGCTAACTTTGAGTGCAGGTATCGTCTCATGTGATTTTATTTTTTGTTTACATAGTTCCAAAATTTTTAGGTTGCTGTTTTATGCTCTTTGATTTATCTTCTTCATGTATTCGAATAAAGTTCCGCGACAATTTCCTGACTTTGTTTCGATCCTTCAAGTTTTTTCTTGTGTCTTATCTCTCAAATTTTCTTGTGTCTTATCTCTCCTGACATCTCTCCAAATTTTTTGTTTTTCACGAAATGCATGTCTCACTTCGGGTCTCATCGGCATTTTGTTTTGCTTTTTACGAATTTTAATTTAAGGGATGAACTTTTTAGCAGCACAATCAAGAGTGCTTTCAAATTTTTCCCAGTTTTGCTCTAGTAGTTGCGATTCTTCACACATTATGTTGGTGTTTAACTCTGATCGGAGTTCCACGTAGCTCCCTTTGTTGTAATTCAGTCTCTCTTTACATCGCTTAGCTGTCCACAGATCAAATTTTGCTTGGATCAGTGTGTGATCACCCTTACCCAGCGGGGAGATGTATTCTATGCTAGTTGGTACCAGTGTTTTGTCGGCTAGCATGAGATATAGTAAAAAGAGTTCGTTGTTTTTGGTCACACGCGTTGGTCTATCAATGTGTTGATTGAGATAAGAATATTTTACCGCTTCAATGAATTGATGTTCCTTGCTGTTCTCGTCATATTTCGTGCTGATATATTGCCAATCAATATCTCTGTAATTCATGTCTCCTAGTACAAGGTATCAAAAACGGTTGGATCCAATGCTTCTTAAGAAGTTTTTAAGGTTGTAGTTGTTTTCGGGGTTTGATGATGGGCTCCGATAGGTTGAAGCTATCACAACTTCTCCCTTTGTTAGCAGTAGATTGAATAGTTGCAGTTCCTCAAAACCAGAGTCATCTTTTTTTTCCTTGTAATCGATGTCCTTTCGAAAATAAAACTTTGGGTTTCGCTTCAGTTAGGGCAATGATGTGTGGTAACATATTTGCTTGTTGTAAGAGAACTTGTAGTTCAAGAATTTATCAGGAGTTAATGTGTCTACATTCCCGAACGAGAACTCAAAATGCTCTCTGTTTCCTGCGTTGTTGTTTGCAATACTTCTATCTCTCTTTTTTTCTACTCTGATGATCTTGTTCCCTCTGACAATGTGGGTGAAGTTCCCGGGTTCCTCTGCTGTTAAAGTTTTTGCCCGTTGCACTAGAAAACGGACATTTTCTCTCTCTTTCATGCTCCTATCAGGAGTGACTCTTAGTTGTCTGATTTTGTCTTCGGCAAACTCCAGTTTTGTCAAATTTTTCATCATGAGTTCTGCTTCCACTGGTGAGTCAGTGGGCGGGGCCTTGCTCTTGTCTCTTGATCAGGGGTTTTGCCTAGTCAGGTACTTTTTTTAACTTTAGTTGGTTCAATTTCTATGCTAGAGCATTGTTGCTGGATTTTTGGCATGTCTTCATTATAAAGTTCTTTTGAGTCCCTTGACTGGTTTTCAGGGGCTTTGTGTATCATAAGATTCTTCTTTCTTCTTAAGTCTTCTTCTTCCCATTTTTGTTCTGCTCCAGCTTCCAGATTTATGTCTTTCAGGGGTTTGGTGACCTGATGCTCTACTTTCCAGGCATTATCTTTCACTGTGCTTGGTCCCAAAGTTGGCTGTGCTTTCGCTTTCGTTCCCTCCATTAGACTCTTCACGGAATCAACAGACTAATCCAGGTCGTTCCTCATTTTAGTTATCTCCGGATTCGTTTTTGGAGCGGTTGCACCCTTAATTAGGCTTTTTACATCGGGTGTACATGTGTCACAACACCATATGCCCTTACTTTTAGACATGAATTTGTAAACTGCCGAAAGCATTTTTAAGCATTTTGCACATAAATGTTTGGCGCAGTTATCGCATTCCATTACTTGATCCATTGGATCTCCGAATTCTATTTTAACAATCACACAAATCCAGGCATCATCAGCCTGTGACTTGCTTAAAATTCTCCAATTTTTACAGACTTCACCTAGGCCGCTCCGAAACAACTAAGTTCCAGGTCGAGAGGCGTGGGACTTGTTAATAATGTTTTCCGATTGATTCGGTCCTCTGGCTCAATTTATCTGAAATTACGCGGTATGTGAAATTGAAAAGGACAAATCTATTTAATAAGTTTATCACAACAATTGGTTATCATAGTAACGGAGGTTACAGTCAAGAGTCCCTTCATTACATATTCTAGTCAAAATCCTGGAACTTTTCTAGATATGTGAATGATAATATAAGGATATGATTAGTTTTGATGTGTTTAAAATTAAACTCGATACTGGTTACTATAGTCGATTAGAATTGTCTGGCAGGACATAGCAAAAGCATATTACTGGGGTGACATTTGGATATTATTTTGGGGAAGTTCACTACCTTTACCTCACAGCAAAAACCACGCATCAAAGACTTTAAGATAGTGGTGGTATAGGACAAGTGAAGAGTCGGGTTTTCGTTCTCACTGCTGTATCGGAAATGAGAAAAAAAATTTTATTTAGGAGAAGAATTAAGAAGAAATATGAGATGAATTATTTATTTAGGATACATATCTTAAATAGAACTAATAAGGCCAAAAGTATCATAGTAACCGAGGTTACAGTCAGAAGTCCCTTCATCACATTTTCCAGACTAAAATCTCGGAATTTTCTAGATATGGAAGTCATAATGTTGAAAAAGAGATGATGAGAGTTGATGTGGTTAAAACTGATATTAATTAGCGCAAATTAGCCTAAATACTTAAATAACCCTACAGAACAAGCACCACAAACGGGCCACAAAAATGGTCGTAACAATCCTGACTGTTATAAATGCCTGTAACAACAATATATCTAACAACAACAAACGGGAGGGTCGGATCACACCCCGTCGGAGGGGATGATTTCTACGGTTATTATGATTTTTTTTTTTCGTTTTTTTTAATGTTTTTTGCTTTTCTTAGGTACTATACTACTGTTTGTTTGGTTTCTTGTATATCTTTTAGTGTTTTTGGTCACAAACCCTCTCAGGGAAAGACGGGACGGCCAATCCCCCCCCCCCACCCTTCCTGATTCGTTAGTTTTCGGTCTTAACTAGGTTAACAAGATTCGTTAGTTTTCGGTCTTAACTAGGTTAAAAAGCTATTCACGGGAATCCGGAAGGCTTCTGCGTTCATTCCAAAATACCCTTCCGCCCCGGTGGTCAGGGCGTTGTTTTGAGCATCCGCTCGGCGCGGAGTGCTCGTTAACGGTTCTGCTGGTCATGATGTTAAAAAAAACACCCGGGAGCGCTATGAAAATATCTATGTAACATTCGCCCGGAGGTACATATCGACGGTAAATAGAGCCAGGTTCTAAAACGACTGGCTAGCGTCTAAACACAGCTCTATATGCTTTTCACCGTCTCTGCCAAAGCCAGTTCTTTTGGTGTTTTTCCTAACATCGGGTCGACAAAACGTTACTGCTTTCCGTCTTAACACCCTTCCCTTTTCTCGGGTTCTACGTTGCAACGATTGTAGCGGCACAATCATTACAACTCGGAATGGTTCCTGACAAATTCCAATCACAGATTCAATCTGTTGTAGTTTTCTCGTAGTTATTTTCACTGCAACTAATGTTGTTCTGTTTCGCCGTTTCAGTGTGTGCGAAATATAAAAAGGTTACGTGTCGCTCCAAATTGAAATTTTAAAATTTAGCATGTCAGTTAAGACCAACCCTTCCCGATTCTTCTAATCGTTCAAATAACGCTGCTCATCCATTAAAACCGTCGATCTTCCAGGTTAGATGTCCCTTTTTCAGATCGATAAAATTTCGATTGCGAAACTGCATTTTCGTACATTCTGGTCGAATGTCACACTGATTCAACTTTGCTTAGTTGTTTTCCGCCATTTAAGGTATAATTCCGTTAAGATTGTTTTGTTCTTCCCGTTAGGAAGAGTGTATGACATTTTGTCAGATTGAACTTCATTAAACTGCTTTCAACCCATTGGGAAATTTCATTCAGGTCAAATTGTAGTTTTTCCTCTTGAGTCTCATCAGTAATTGAGCTGAATATTTTGGCGTCATCTGCGTATAGAAGCGTAGGGGATGTAATGCCATCCGTCATCGAGTTGATGTATAGCAAAAAAAAGTATTGGTCCCAGGGCAGATCATTGTGGGACTCAGCTGACAACTGGTGCCCACTCCGAAAAACTTTCGTTTACCACTACCCGTTGCTTCCTATCCATTAAGAATGCTGTGATCCAGTTTAAAGTTTTCCCTTTGATCTCATATTTTGATATTGTGTTCAATAGTGTTTTATGGGGAACGCTATCAAAAGCCTTTTTGGAAGTCAATGTACATATGTCTACCTCATCCACAGTCCACTCGTCGAGCGCTTTTAATAACTGGAGAGTCGTTGATCGACCTGGTAAGAAACCATACTGTTTGTCTGATAAGATGTTATTTTGTCTCAAGAAGTCAAACAGGTGTCTTCTTATCACTTTTTCCATTATTTTGCTGTTTTATGCTCTTTGATATATCTTCTTCATGTATTCGAACACAGTTCCGCGACAGGTTCCTGACTTTGTTTTGAACCTTCAAGTATTTTTCATATTTTTCTTATGTCTTATCTCTCCTGACATCTCTCCAAATTTTTTGTTTTTCACGAAATGCATTTTTCACTTCGGGTCTCATCGGCATTTTGTTTTGCTTTATACGAATTTTAATTTTAGGGATGAATTTCTTAACAGCACAATCAAGAGTGCTTTTAAATTTTTCCTAGTTTTGCTCTAGTGTTTGCGATTCTTCCACGTAGCTCCCTTTGTTGTAATTATGTCTCTCTTTGCATCGCTTTGTTGTCCACAGATCAATTTTTGCTTGGATCAGTGTGTGATCACCCTTACCCAGCGGGGAGATGGATTCTATGCTAATTGGTACCAGGGTTTTGTCGGCTAGCATGAGATCTAGGAAAGATGGTTGGTTGTTTTTGGTCAAACGCGTTGGTCTATCAATGTGTTGATTGAGATAAGAATCTTTTACCGCTTCAATGAATTGATGTTCCTTGCTGTTCTCGTCATGACTCGTGCTGATATATTGCCAATCTATATCTCTGTAATTCATGTCTCCTAGTACAATGTATCTAGAACGGTTGGATCCAATGCTTCTTAAGAAGTAGTTAAGGTTGTAGTTGTTTTTGGGGGTTGATGATGGGCCCCGATAGGTTGAAGCTATCACAACTTCTCTCTTTGTTAGCAGTAGATTGTATACTTGCAGTTCCTCAAAACCAGAGTCATCTTTTATTTCCTTGTAATTGATGTCCTTTCGTAAAAAAAACGTTGGGTTTCGCTTCAGTTAGGGCAATGATGTGTGGTAACATATTTGCTTGTTGTAAGAGAACTTGTAGTTCAATGAATTTATCAGGAGTTAATGTGTCCACATTCCCGAACAAGAACTCAAAATGTCCTCTGTTTCCTGCGTTGTTCTTTGCAATACTTCTATCTCTCGTTTTTCTACTCTGATGATCTTGTTCCCTCTGACAATGATGATGAAGTTCCCGGGTTCGTCTGCTGTTAAGTTTTTTGCCCGTTGCACTAGAAAACGGACATTTTCTCTCTCTTTCATGCTCCTATCAGCAGTGACTCTTAGTTGTCTGATTTTGTCTTCGGCAAACTTCAGTGTTGTCAAGTTTTTCATCATGAGTTCTGCTTCCACCGGTGAGTCTAGTGTGATTCTCAGTGGGCGGGGCCTTGCTCTTGTCTCTTGATCAGGGGTTTTGCCTAGTCGGGTACAGTTTTTAACTTTAGTTGGTTCAATTTCTATGCTAGAGCATAGTTGCTGTAATATTAGCATGTCTTCATTATAAAGTTCTTTTGAGTCCCTTGACTAGCCTTCAGAGGCTTTGTGTATAATAAGATTCTTCTTTCTTCTTAATTCTTCTTCTTCTTCACGTTTTTTTTCTGCTCCAGCTTCCAGAATTATGTCTTTCAGGGGTTTGTTGACCTGAGGCTCTACTTTCCAGGCATTATCTTTCACTGTGCTTGATCCCAATGTTAGCTGTGATTTGGATTTCGTTCCATTCATGAAGTAGTAAAAGTCCTCCATTAGACTCTTCACGGAATCAACAGTCTTATCCAGGTCGTTCCTCATTTTAGTTGACTCCTGATTCGTTTTTGGAGCGGTTGCACCCTTAATTAGTCTTTTTACTTCGGCTGTACATGTGTCACAACACCATATGCTCTTACTTTTAGACATGAATTTGTAAACTGCCGAAAGCATTTTTAAGAATTTTGCACATAAATGTTTGGCGCAGTTATCGCATTCCATTACTTGATCCATTGGATCTCCGAATTCTTTTTCAACAATCAACACAAATCCAGGCATCATCAGCCTGTGATTTGCTTATAATTCTCCTAGTATGGTTACTAATTTTTTCAGACTTCACCTAGGCCACTCCGAAACAACTAAGTCCCAGGTAGCTTCCAGAGTAAAATCTATGAAAAAGATACTCTAACCTTACTTTTTCTGGTTGTCTTCTTATTGTCCTTCTTGTTCTTTTTTTGAGGCCTGCTTCTCTTGGTCTTTCTTTCGCTTCTATTCTTTGATTTTCTTTTTTTGATCAGTGGACAATATTTCTTGACGGGTGATTCAAGGTTTGTGAGCCGCTGAAGAATCGTTTCCTAAAACCTTATTTCCAATCTCGTTGAGGGATGTATTTTCCTGAGGTTTGATTGGTACTACCAATTCTTCTGTTTGCGACTTAAAAATAATTTCTTTCCAGCTGGTATTACTAGAGAGTTCAACGTTCCTAATTCTGCAAAATTGTGTTTCGCGTTTTCTCTTTGGCAATAAATAATCGACTTAATTCGTCAGGTATGTTTTCTGAGCGTGTTGATCAGATTCGGGACTTTTTCTGCTTTCTGATCGTTCACTCTGTTGTTGGTAATTTTGTTATTTAACACGTCGTGCCAAAGGATGATGTCTCTTGCTCTACGTAGTTTTCCTTTTTCTATGAAAAATTCAAGGTTCAAAACGTTGTGGACAGAGTTGGGGTTGAGAATCAATCCTTTAGCTGCAAAGCTGATGCGGGATAACGCTCTCTTCAAATCTTTTGAGGCTACTTCGGTTGCGGCTTTCAGGGAGCTGGCTCTAATTATAAACACCATTAACAATCAACACTCTTCACCCA